TTGGGGAGGCTTAAGCCCCCTCTTCTTCCTGTACACCATGGTCTCAACCCCAGTCAGGCACATTCATGCCTGGGAATTAAGTTCCAAGCATGGAATTTCCACAGCCCATCTGACTGAAAGTCCTTGTGGCAACCACATGGGCGGACACATAAGGGAGGACTTTGTAACATGTGAATTGGTTCGGGGGGGGGACAGCTTAAATGGCCTTTCTAAAGGATGAAGTGAAATTAAATACACTTAAATACTAGGAGATATATATTTTTTTTAAGTTGTAGACTAAAATGCATTTTAATTGCCTGCTTAGAGGTTTCATTTCACGTAGAGGCTCTAAGTGAGCAATCGGTTCTGTTCGTATGATATAGATGTTGGACGACTGAAGGTTCTTTTTTTTTTCCGCCCTGAAGAGTCACAATGTGAGGCATACCCAGTTCCAGAGAGCAGAAAGAATTTGTTTAGGAAGTTATATTACTAGATAGAGAAAAAGAGAGCTTTAAGGTTCTAGCTACATGGCTGACAGGAAGAGGAGTGGGGTGGAAGAAGGAAGTCAGCCTGAGAACTGCATTCTGGAACAAACAAGGAAATAGCATTTCGCGGGGTAGAAAAAAGGGAAGCATCCATATCTCTATCTAACTACGCTTGCTCCTTTGCTGTACCCTGAAGGAGCGGACTTCTTTTGAACACTTGACATGGTACATTCCAACAAGCGATTGAGAGCCAGTGTGGTGTACTGGTTAAAAATGTTGGATTAGAAACTGGGAAACCCAGGTTCAGATCCCCACTCTGCCATGGAAGCTGGCTGGGTGACCTTGGGCTAGTCGCACACTCTCAGCCTAACCTACCTCACAGGGCTGTTGTGAGGACAAAATGGAGGAGAGGAGAATGATGTAAGCCACTTTGGGTCCCCACTGGGCAGGAAGGCGGGGTATAAATAAAGTAAATGAAAATAAACAATCAATCAATAAGTTAGGGATGCTGCAAACTTCACCAGGAACATGACCGACAGTCAAACTTACCACGTTTGAAGGTGACAGTCACGCATGAGTCCATCACCCAGTTTATTAGGTTCACGCTGAACAGCCACAAATGCCTGCCCAAGAGGGTTCCACTGTGTTCCTTCAACAGCCCACATGTGGCAGACACTGCCTTTAGATTAGAGAGGGCAGATCTCCTGCTATAGCAGGAAACCTCGCAGCATAAACCCCTGTTTGAAACCACTTTCCAAAAGGGCGATGGGAGGAAAAATTAAGTTCTCTTTCCAGGGTGCCAGTTAGGGGCTGGCAATCCTACATTAGTGTCACTAGGGACTGTATAGTTGAACACAGAAAGGTAGGATTTTATTTAAACCCAGCATTTATTTATGACTGATTTATATGATATGCAACAGTGTTGTCTATTATTTAAAAAATGCCTGCTAAGCCAAGCCATTATGCAGCAAGGACAGGGGATGGTAATAGAGCTCAGTCAGACTGTGTGAGAAGGCACAGGCATAGAAAGCCAATTGTAATGTGCTTGGGATTAGAAAGGAATACAGTGAAGCAACCTGCCTAACAGGCATAAACAGGTTGATGAACAGTTAAATCAATCATCAGAAACCGGCTCCCTGTTTGCGACCAGCAAACAGGATGTTGGGTGATCAAGCATCCCGCGATTTAGTCTAAACTGCTGCAAAGTGGAACAGCTACTGAGCTGTGGAACTGTGGCCCTTTGGGTTTCATTTTATTAGCCTTGCTTAGAGATCCAAAACTAACTGTCTCTGACTGGCTCCTACTCACCTTATCCTTTGCAAAGCTGAGAAGCAGTTTGCGCTCAGTAATGAACTGGACTGCTATGACACTGTCTGAATGGCCTTCCAGGACTCCAGCAGATTTGGAGGTGACGTAAGGGTTCCAAAGGCAAACACGGCGATTAACTCCTGCGGTTGCTGTTCGAAGCCACAAAATTAGGAGAAGAAAATTAATTCTTACTAAATCAATAAATAAACCTCAGCTGTAGTAACTGTAAAAAACAAAAATGGATTCTATTGCATATTTATCCCACATTGTTTCAAGGAGCATGCATAGTTTGCTTCACATTAGAATCAGTTTCAGCATGGGTCTTTCACACATCTGCCCTCCCTCTGCATTTTCACAGGTGTGGAGTCAGTTTATTTTCTTTTCCACATGCTTTAAATAATCAGGATTTTAAAGCGAGAGTGCTGTCATCATCAGTAGCATCATTGGTGGAATCACAACACACACATCCCCTTTTTTTAACAAACTTGTATCACTATATCCATAATATGGCTTCCTTTTTAAAAAAAATAGCACTAAAATATTGATATAGCAATACAGCATTGTAATGATAGGTCAAGCACATTCTCTGAATCCCCAGCCTTTTTCTTCTTCTTCTTTAGGAAAGTCTCTATCCCCAACTCCCACATGGAGATATGGTTTTCCCCCTTATATTTCCATGAAGGGGGGGGGATAGAGACTTCCTCCTTTTTTTAAAAAAATGAAAGTTGTTAATTCAGAAACCCTGTTTGACCTATCCCTACAATGCTATATCAATATATCAATATCTTAGTGTTGCAACCACTCATCTTTCAGTGCAGGCGGGGGGGGGGGAGAGAAGAGTGTTTTGATGATTTGACAGGCCAGTCATCAAAAAGTGGGCTGGAAGTGGGTTTGAAGAGTAAGACAAAGAAAACTAACAGAAACATTATGCTTGAGCAAAAAGGCGACTCAAAATTGGCTTCCAGAAAACGACTGAGCAAAAGTGGTCTCAAAAGGAATGGGGAAAACCAGGGGCGAGACACCAAAAAAAAATGTAGTGAAAACTAAAGGCAAAAAAATATGTGCAGAAATCAGGGGATAGAACAAAGTATGGGGCCAGCACCAAACAAAAAAGAATGTGGGAAAAACCCCAATGTCACTCAGCAAGCTTCGCACAGTTGAGGACAGCTTTGGTCTCCCCAGTGTGACGCCCGATCATGTGTATATTTTGTAAATGTCCAAGGGGTTATTTACTGCCATCCTAAAAACTAGCCTGCTGCTATTTTTGCAATACGTGGTTTTATTTAGAATTAGTGTGATCCATAGAAGAAGAACACACAAGACTGGGGGAAACTGAGTTTCAAATCCCATCTCTGCTAGGGAGTCAACTCTATGGCCTTTGGAATTTCATTTTTAGAATAATCCTAATGATCTCACAGAGTTTGGAAAGAAAGTTCCAGTAAAGGCCTTGCAAATCAAAAGTACTGCATGGAAAGATACACAATATTTAATGCATTATTTAAATTGCTTCTTTGCCCTATTGCTTATTCATGTGTGTTTTTTTTAAAAAACAACCCTAAAAATGTAAAACCTGTCTAAAATGAATCTCATTCTAATAAAGCATTTGGTCTGATATTTTTTTAAAAAATAAAGCCTTGCTTTTCTGATGCTTGCAACTGGCAAACCTCCAAAAGAAATCATTCCACGGTTAAGAAGCAACCACCAAAGTTTCTCTGCCTCTCTCTTCTATCTCCGCACATTTAAACCATAGACCTAAATTGGTTCAGTAGTCATTCTGTCTTCCTTGGGGAAACCTGTCAACAATAGGGTCAAGTAGCACAAGACACTAAGAGATCTGTGTCTGGATCTCCCCAGTGGTTTTCATTGGCAAACATCCACCAAGAGCAGAATGATTTGGATCAGGATCACAAGAGGAGGGGAGTTTAATCCCTTCCCTCCTGCCCCTTGGAGCTGGTATTTGCCACTTTAGGGGAAACAGTAGGCAACCTGTATGTTTCTGCAGCAGGGCCAGTGGCAATTCCAGGGGCTACTTCAAGTCAGGGAACTGGTGCCTCAGCAAAGAGTTAACCCCCTCACCACTGGCCATGTGACAAGCCAGGCCTGACCTGACCCTGGAACAATCTATCAATTATAACCAGTCAGAAATTTAAAAAACAATTTCTGAATCTCCCAGCCATTCCTCCAGGAGGACTTGAGATCTCTAATGGAGAAACCTCCCCATCCTCACCAAACTGCCAGGATTTACACCAATTAAATTTGTTCACAACTAATATGAGCATGTAGTGTATGACACTCAATGAGGGGGGAGTAGGGTAACAAAATTCCAAGACACCTGGTCACCCTAGGTTGAAGAAGAAGAAGAGGAGGAGGAGTAGATTGGATTTATACCCTGCCCTTCGCTACCCGAAGGAGTCTCAGAGTGGCTCACAATCTCCTTTCCCTTCCGCAACCCACAACAGACACCCTGTGAGGTAAGTGGGACTGAGAGAGCTCTTTCGAGAACTGCTCATGGGAGATCAGCTCTGAAAGAACTTGTGACTGACTCAAGGTCACACCAGCAGCTGCCTGTGGAGGAGTGGAGAATCAAACCCGGTTCTCCCAGATTAGAGTCCGCACTCCTAACCACTACTCAAAACTGGTCAAGGAAATCATGTGACTTGTTTCCATGCAATGCTCTCTTTGGTTCTGGTGATCACAGGGGGTTACAATTCTCAAAAAAAAAAAAAAAAAAGATCCCCTGAGCTTGTGAGATTCTGAACAGCCTTGATATGCTTCAGTTCAGAAATGGATGTTTGACAGTTCCCCACTGTGCGAGCCTTTAACTGTTTGCATAGGGTAGACTCTACACACCCTCTCCGCTCCTGCAATTTGCATTGTGTAATATATCAGCCGTCTTCCTGTTTTTCTTTCTACTTGCTCTTCAAAACTATCTTGAACTGTATAGGATTATCTGTACTAGATAAGCTTTCACACTTTGCAGCATCCTTTCTGATCCCTGGCAATATTTCTTTATTGGCTTTTCTATCCATGCTTCGTTAACACCCCATTCTGAGACCCCGAGGCTCCCTTTGTTCCCATTTCTTACCTATCGTCCCCATTTCACATCTGTATGGAGCTGAACTCCAACTCACTGTATGGTTTTATGAGGGGTTTTTTTTTAGCACTAAACTTAGATTCCTCCTGTCAGCAGGTGTTCTTCTCAACATGCTCTTACATTTGTATCTGACTCATGAAGGGCGCCACAGAGAGAGTACCCTCTGGGCATTTCTGAGCTGCCAAGACAGTGGTGAGAAAATAGGAGCAACAATTCACACCTTAGTCCCAACACAGTTGGAACTATTATGTTTTTTTCCCCCTCAGAAATATAGAGAACTGGAATTTTATGAAGGAAATAAGAATCCTCAGAGCCCCTGCAAGACAAAAGCTTGTAGAACTCCTCTAGGAAAGCCACACTGGTTATAGTTATCTAAAAATCTACTCACATTAGTAGCACAGTAATATTGTGCCATGTGATGGGGCAGCTAGAGTGCCCAGAGAGTTGAAGGCAGGAGTTGAGAGATTATAGTTAATGTGGAGAAGCACTGCTTAAAGCTGACTGAAAAGGGTAAGTTTGTAATGAAGAATCCCAAGTGCTGGAACAGGGAAACAGTTCAAAAGTTCAATTGAAAACAAACTTGGTAACATCTACCTGACTTTCTTCAATATTATCTTGAAACCTGAAATAAAAGTTAACGCCTTGTTTGTTTAACCCTTGTTTGTTTAACCTTGTTTGAGGGGTGATATGATCGAGGTTTACAAGATTATGCATGGAATAGAGCAGGTAGAGAAAGAAGTACTTTTCTCCCTTTCTCACAATACAAGAACTCATGGGCACTCAATGAAATTGCTGAGCAGTCAGGTTAGAACAGATAAAGGGAAGTACTTCTTCACCCAAAGAGTGATTAACACATGGAATTCACTGCCACAGGAGGTGGTGGCGGCTACAAGCATGGATAGTTTCAAGAGGGAATCAGATAAACAGATGGAGCAGAGATCCATCAGTGGCTATTAGCCAATAGGAACTCTCAGTCTGGGGCAAGTGATGCACTGTATTCTTGGTGCTTGGGGGGTGCAACAGTGGGAGGGCTTCTAGTGTCCTGGCCCCACTGGTGGACCTCCTGATGGCACCTGGGGTTTTTTGGCCACTGTGTGACAGAGTATTGGACTGGATGGGCCATTGGCCTGATCCAACATTGACTTCTCTTATGTTCTTAACCCTGTGGGCTGGTTGTCTCAGGGAAAGAAAGACACACACAAACAAAAATCTCAGTCTCTGTATATTTTAGGATATGAATAAATGGTGGCAGCATGTGAATGAAACAGAGGTCCTTTCCGCATTCGCCAGCCGCTCTGGATTGTCTCAGTGTTTGAGCTGAGGCAATTTAAGTCCACGGCAAAACAGCATCCAAATAGCCCGGGGCAACAGCAGGCTGAAACTGGGCTGAACACTGAAGGGAGGTAATGTAATGCAGAGGGGGGCGGAACGGAATAAGAACAAGGTTGAACTCAATTTTAGTGCGGAATGTGTGGGGGGAAAACCTGGATTAAAAAGAAGGTTGAATTTGATTTTAGTGCAGAATTGCTTGGAGGACACCTTGGTGAACATGGGTTAAAAGAAGAGTGCAGAAAGGGCCATTGTTTTGAGTCCCCAACCCCAAAAAGCTCTGGGTGTTTGAGTGAAGGGCAATTATTAAAGGGGATTGGGCTACTGTGTAAGTTGATGTCTCTGCGAGTAAGAGGGAGGACCTGGCATTTGAAATGCTCATGCCTCTCTCCAGGGGTCACTTCCTGCAGGAGCGCACAGGAGCGGAGCTCTGGCAGTAAAGAGCCCAGGGGGCGGTGTTATGCCAACTTCTCCAGGAAATTCCTGGAGACCCAATCCAAGTTATCTACCAAGGAAAATTGGGTGTTTGTGGCTGTGCGTAAGTTCTATACCAGTCTATACAGAGGTCGGATGGCGAATGAGACGCTCGGCTATATCCCAGGAAGTGAGACAACACGCTAGTCCTTAAATAAATGTTGTCTTTACTAAAGGTTTTTCATCAGGCATACAAAATCGGAATCACACAAATTCATACAAGCTCCTTAGTTACAATAGTACATCAGAACAATTACAGCATAGAAAATAACAAAAGCATCAAAATGGGGATGACACAATGGGGCACGGCTATACTCATCTGAGGTCCAGCTGAGGAAGAACTCTCCTCCTTGAAACGCTGGGCAGCCGAAATGCAGCAGCTTGTGAACTCCAAGGCACACAGGTAGGACCAGCCAAACCACGTGTGAGCTCTCTGGGTCGCGACTCCGGAGAACTTAAGTAGTAGAGTCACTTGTAGCACCTTAGTGCACTGCTATGGGAAGGGTGGGTTAACCAGAGAGACAAAGGAGAGTTTCTCCTTAAATAAACTCTTTTTGGGGCATGTGCTATCCAGCCATAAACTATCAAACCCGTCCTCTAAACTATCACTACTGGATGAAGAGGGGGTGACGAGGGGATGACGAAGGGGATGACGCTCTCCTAAGGGGTGGTGGCAATATGCAGATCCTACTCCTACATCAAAGGTGCCTTTTGGCAAGGTGTGAATCTTCCGTTCCCATGGACACCTCTTGATTTGCAGATCTGGTTCCTGCTCCAAAGCCATAAACGCTATTGTCTTTAGATCTCCAAACCAGATTAAGGGAGTAGGGTCACTTGCTCTTTCCATTCCAAGAATGCCGGGGTTCGCTGGGGATTTTCCATAGCTCTCCAAGTGGGTGCAATGGCGCGGTGTCTTCTCCATCCCAAAGAGTCATGGGATACATTCCAGGGACGCACATGGTCCGTATGTGCAACGGCAGGCCCAGGCCAGCCTATTTCTAGGCAAGCATGAGATGCAGAACAAAGCAACACACAACATACAGCAATCCCTGAATACATATTGCATAGGTATTCATGCTAGAGACACACATAAGCAGCATCACCACTATACAGAAATACAAACATAAGCTCATATCGTTACAGCGGGCACATGCAACAAGCCCCACCCCCTGCTCCCAGCAGCCCTCAGCCAGAGCAAGAAGCAGCCTGGTAAGTTGCAGAGCTTCCCCCGGCCCCCCAGTCCAAAACAGTCCAGTGGCACCTTTAAGACCAGGTTTTATTCAGGTACAAGCTCTCCCTCCTCTGCGAGGACAGATCTGCACATTCTCCCCCCCCCCCAATAGCTAGGAATCCAAAACAGTCCAGTGGAGCCTGAGCGGTGAGCGTTGCCTTCTGACACACTTCCGGTGATGTCAGGGGGTGTGGCATATGCAAATGAGTTATGCTAATGAGCTCCTGCACCTCTTTTTCTACGAAATGACCCCTGCCTCTCTATATATTTTAAATGAGACAAGAGGAGGTAGTGATGTTTGACTCCCTCACCTACCTGTTACCCTGAAACCTGTGGGAGAGAGGTTGTGGAGGGTGGCAGGCACTCCGTGTGAGTGAGAAAAAGGTCATCATTACTATCAGGATTGTTGTGAGGGGGGGAAAATGGAGGTATGCTGCCGTGAGCTCCTTGGAGGAAGGGTGACATAAACATGAAAGAGATATATAGATATGTAGTCATTTAGAAAATTGAAGACCTCATCACTGCTAGGTAAATGCCGTATTTTATAGCTTCACCACAATTTACTACAATTTGCTGTAGGAAATGCAGCCCTAGAAAACGACACCCTCATTTTATCACTCTTATGTCCCATATGACAACTGCTCCAGTACGGCCACTTTCTCTGGACAGGCCTGCTGGGAGTGTGTACCACTCTTACAAAGAACACCAGTATGTGTGATACATCTGGTAGGGTTGCCAACAGGCCTGGACAAAAATGTCCTGTCCCTTTAATAAAGGCTTAATTAATAGCAATGGGTAGCTGAAGGTTTTCATGGCAGGGTGGTAAATAAAATCACCTGGAAGATAACCTCGCCTTAGGCCTCTATTCAAGGGACGGGTCTGGTTTTTTTGAACCAGGCAGCTGGCAACCCTAGAGTCTGGTCATAGCTGGATTTAAATTCCTGAGGAAAAAATACCCTGGCACCCCACTCTTTAGCATTCTTTGATGTATCTACAGCGATGACATTCTAAGCAGAGTCACAGCCTTATAAACCCATTGACTTTAACAGACAGAGGTCCTTTCTGCACTCTCCTTTTAATCCATGCTCACCACGGTGTCCTCAAAGCAATTTTGCACTAAAATCAAATTCAACCTTCTTTTTAAACCAGTTCTCCCCCCCCCCCATTTTGAGTGTGTCCTCCAAGCAATTCTGCACTAAAATCAAGTTCAACCTTCTTTTTATCCCGGGTTCCCCCCCAATTCTGCATTACATCACCTCCCTTCAGTGGTCAGCCGGGTTTCAGCCTGCTGTTGCCCCGGGTTATTTGGATGCTGTTTTGCCGTGGACTTAAATCGCCTCGACTCGAACACTGAGAAAATCCGGAGTGGCAGGCAAATGCGGAAAGGACCACAGAAAGGCATAATACTGTTTAGGATTGTGCCCCAGTTTTTTAGCTTACAGGCATATAGTCAAGGTCTATATGATTATTGTTATTTATATATTGTACCTATTTACTGTGGGGAATTTGGAAATATATATAACAACAACAGTACTGTGTCCAAGATTTTTTATTTTATCTCAATTGACTATATATTTTGCTGATTCGTTCCAGAACAATTTCTGATGCCCTGGTGAATGGGTCACAAATTCAATTGCACATTACAAGCAGCATTCTCAGACTCTCAAAAAAGTTGTTCACATTTTCAAACATTGTTCCCAGATGGTTTTCACACATGCACTCTTACACTGTTTACCCATGACTGTCCCTGGGGGGGATCAACTAACCAAAGAAGGGTTTTCCTGGTTATCTTTGAGGAGGGCAATGGTACATGGCTTGTCTCTTTAGTATTCTTAAATTTTGCTCAAATTGTCTGCCTGACTTCCAAAGCTGAACATGTTTATGTTAATCAAAGGTCGGGAACTGGACACATTTTTGCACTGCCACCAGCTTGGGAGTGGCCAGAGGCTCAGAGAAGAAGAAGGGCAGAGTGGGGGAGCACATCACTGCTGCCATCTGCCTTACCAGCTGTGCTTTTTCTGTTCTTCCTGTCTTCACCATGGCCAGGGGCATGGGCCTTTGGGCAGGAAGGGCAGGAGACAACTACAACTCATGTCCTTGATTAAGCTGGATCACTGGATTCAAGACAGGTCCAGATTTTAGATGGTCACTTCCTGTTTGTTTTATTTAAATGCTCTGTGTGTGTTTCTATTATATTTGCTACTGTCATAAGTGCTCTGGGTCCCTTCAGGTAGAAAGAACAGCAAATCCCTAATTAGTCCAGTAAATGCTGAACATGAGCACTATTACTGACTTGGCAGGTGCAAAAGCATCACGTAAATCTGAAATGTTATTTTTAAAGGACACCTGGTCTGCTCGTGAGGACTCCAGGATGCACATAAGCCCAGGAAAACTGTTCATTGACAGTAAGCCCTTATTGTGTCTGTCCAGTTAGCTATCATATTGAAGGCTGCCACTAGACAGATGCCAAATTACACGAAATTGTGAACAGATCACTTATATGAGATGTTCAGTTCCAGGTAAACAGGCATTGCAAAGTAAGTTAAGTTCAACAAGTGACTTACTTGCAAAAATCTAATCTCCTTGCTCTAGATGGGGGGGGGGACTTTGACATCATAGTACCATAATATTATCACCAGATTATAAGGACCAAATGGGGAATCATCGGTGGAAAAATCATGAGTTGATTTACCGCTGTTTTGCTGGAAGGTAAATATAATATCTGTTAACTGAGCATGAAAAGTCAGCCACTAGAACTTGGCCATGCTCATTCATGAGTTCCTTAAACGCAAATAAAAGTGTCCGTTCGTAACAGCATAGCGCTGGAAAGCACATGTGAAGGATAGGAAATGGAAGGCCTACCAGCCATATTTGGATCATTGGTCCCTTTCCTCAAGGAAAAGCTTTTCTTGAGAATGAACATTCTGCAATGAACATTCTGCATTGTGGAACAGTGGAATCACCTGCCTAGGGAGGTGGTGAGCTCCCCCTCACTGGTAGTCTTTAAGCAGTAGCTGGACAAACACTTGTCAGGGATGCTCTAGGCTGATTCTGCATTGAGCAGGGGGTTGGACTAGATGGACTAGGGACCCATATGGCTCCTTCCAATTCTGAATCTATGATTCTATGGACCTCCTGGTGGCACCTGGGATTTTTGGCTACTGTGTGACAGAGTGTTGGAGTGGGTGGACCATTGGCCTGATCCAACATTGGCTTCTCTCATGTTCTTATGTTCTTATGGTGCTGAACTGCCACATGGCGGGGGAGGAAGGAAGGAAGGAGAATCTTTGGTAGGGTAGATGCAGCCCATGGGCCTTGCATTGTGCACCTCATTTGATCCAACACCGAATCCAAAGCCAAGCTCTTACATGCACATGCTATGCCAAACATATATGGAGGATATATCTGAACTGCAAAATTATTTACTGATTGTATAGCAGCGTACTACTGCCTTCTGAAGCAGAGTGACCCCCTCCTATGTCCACTGACTAAGCTCTTCAATGGACTTTGAAGGGTGTCCCTCTGCTTTGGATGGTGCTGCAAACATCACACCATCTCCCATAGAATCCTGGGAGTGACAGAGATTACTACTCCCCCCCCCATGTCGACAACTCAAAGGGTTCCCTGAAGAGAGCAAATGGCTGCTACCCTAGCTTACATCCGCTGTGTAGACATACCTTCAGACACTTGGTTGTCATATTACAATAAAGCAGAAATCATTAGTTACATACCTATTAGGTTGAGCCGGGGATGGAAGTCAAAAGAATTAACACCTTGAGTGACATGAAAGGTTGTCATTGTAAGACGAGGACTTAATTTCTCTCTCCAGGCCAGGACTAGAGTGTTCATACTACTCGTTGTAACAGAAATAAAGACATCTAAAGAGGAGCTGTATGCAACTGAAATTGGAGATGGGAAAGAGAGGACAGTTGAATTAAATTCAGCACAAAGTAAGAGGTAGGTCAAATATGAATCCTTTTTTCTTTTCTTTTTTTGGCCTCTGGATTCAAACTTTGTTCTGCTGCTTCAGACCAAAATGGCTACTCACCTGAATCTTTTTTTTTAAAGTGCATGTCTTCCCTTTGAGAGGAAATTTTCCACATTAACATGCTGGATGCAGGTGTTCTTACCTGCTGATGTGGGCTGTTTCCACACAGACATTTTGCTCCACCTTGGTTTCCTTTTCTGCAGTGTTGTTTGGGGGAGTATCCACATGAACACCCTGTTTTGTCCTGCTTTTGTGATCTCCCCCACTTTACTGTAATCTTTCCCAAACCTGGTCTGATACACTCCTCTTAGAAAAATTTGTCTTTGGATGCTGTGTGGACAAGAAGGTATGCATATTTGCATGACCCTCCCACAATGGCAACATTTTTCTTCCTTCAGTCAAATCATACCTTCCATCGACAGAGGGCTTTTTCTTTAAAACAGGTAATAGCTACATTGTGATAGTGGTATAATATTATTACAATCTATTTGCAATAATGTATTAGTTCTCAGTGTTCATTTTTTAAATTAAGTCTCCAGCCATTTACATTGCAGAATTATGAGGGGAAAGGAACTGGGCTGCATATTTCTCATTATAACTTTGCATCAAAAATGGCAAGAGACTTATTTTTTTTCTTAAATGACAGCTTAGAATTAGTAAGTTGTTGCAATAGATTGTTATACTATTATAACGGTGATATAGCTATTACCACTTTTTAAAAGCCTCTGTTGGCAGGAGGAACGGCAGTCATGGAGCGATAGAGCAATGAAAATGGGGGGGGGGGGGGGGAGACTTCCATGTGAATGGTTCATTGTCTCTATGAATGCTTATCCTGGACCTGGGTGTCATCAGAATCCTGATGAAACTCTGTCCATATTCCCAAACAGCCTCTCCCAACTGTTTCGTATAGATGGGTGGCAACAAAAATGAACATTAAGGAACTTCACAGCACAACTTGCAGAACAACACTGGGAACAATAATCTCCCCAGTCCCACCTTCTGGAACCTACCCTCCAGAGAGGAATGGAACCACTGCAAAGGAGTGCTGTATCTGAAGACGGGAGCAGTGGCTCATGAAAGCTCATACTCTGCCACAAATTTTGTTAGTCTTTAAGGTGCTCCTAGACTCTTGCTCTTTTCTACTCCAACTACACAAACTGTCTCGAAGGGAACCACAGTAAACAGCACTGAAAGCAGCTGAAAAGTCTAGGACAGGGGTGTCAAACATAAGGCCCAGGGGCCAGAACCGGCCCATCCAGGGTTCTTATGTGGCCCGCGAGCAACTAGTGCAAGGGAGGGAACAGGAGACTGCTGGGGGAGTGGGCGGAGCCACTTCGATTGTGGCTTCAGCATGGTGGAACAAGCTCATCTGCATCAGTCAAGCAGTGTGGGAACATCTGCCTATGCTGCACTGCTGGGTCTCCAGTCCACCCATGTGGGTTTCCTTTGCCACCCCCTTCCCAGACCAAGAGGCCTTGCAATGAGGATACACCAACTCGGAACTTATCAGCTGCTGTCCTTTATACAGTTTATATCTCTGGTACCTGGAATTACATTTATGGCACATACGGCCCGGCCTGACAAAGTCACATTTATGTCAGATCCGGCCCTCGTAACGAAGGAGTTTCACACCCCTGGTCTAGGAGACTTCATAGAAGCACTAGATTTCTTCTACACTAGGCTGTAAACAAGGAAAGTTTCAGTTCCAAACCCAGGCCTGAAACCAGATTCAGATAAATCAGGTTCCTCAAGGAGAAGTAAGGTGGCCTGGTTGCCTGCTTTGGCCCACTTTAGTGGGCAACCTCCCACCCTTTGCCTTGAAAAATGGGGAGGGGAACAACATCAGTTTCAGCCTGGTAACTAGAAGTGATGTCACCACATTGCCAGACACTCCAGGATGTGACATCATGCCATTACAAGATGCCATTTGTGTACGTCTCCACCCCCAGTCTCCTGAGAATTGCTGGCAACTGTATCCAAAGTTGTTTGCCCCTTATTGAATCAATTACCTTCCACTAAAATGGCAAATTCAGAAATTATCCCAATCAGAAGAGCCAGGAGTTGATTATTTGCTTAGAAAAAAAATTATGCCAGTTCTCCACAGAACATGCCCAAGGCAGCTTACAAAAATAAAACCTAACAAAAACATAAAACATTAAAAACTGTTAATTAAAATCAAAGTAGACTTGAATGGTGATCTGATCCAAAATGTAGTGGCCAGACTATTGTCAGAGGCTGAATACAGGGATTTTATCAACCTGCTGCTGAAAAATCTACATTGTTTCCCTTTTCCAGGCACAACAAGTACTGGTTCCTGTACCTGTGTGTGATCATACATTACACTTTTCTGCGTACACGTAAATGGTTTTATGGGCTTACCTTACAATGTGTAATGTGTGAAAATAGCCCTAGATAAAGGAATGGTGAAATACAAAATTAGCTGTTATTCCTCCACAAACACCCGATAATCCTACACTAAATTACTATTTAAAAAAAAAAATACCATAATTGTCTGGGAAATTGGTTTATTATATTCTGTGGTAAATTTTGCTTCGCAGTCCATCTGGAAAGACAGATTAGAATATCTTTTTTTAAAAAAAACTCAGAGTCTTGCTTCATGACCAGACTCTTTGGGCTGCAGGGATATTAATGAGAGAGAAATATTATGAGGTTTAGAAGCCAAGTAATCTTCACAGTTCGTAACAAAGACATAAAGTTGTTTCTGACTAAATTATACTGTAAGTCAAGCTCCTTGGAGGATGTCAGACTGAAAAAAGGTAATGTTAGAGAAATTTCCGTATCAGGAAGATATATAACAAATTAAAGTGTTCTGTTGCATGAAGAAGAGATGAAAAGGAGTAGAGGAATTGAGACAGAAACGACCTGTTCATTTCTAATATTTAAAGAATGAAGCAAAAAATTAAAACTACCAAGGGAGGGGGGGAGGAATCTCAGCAGAAGCCATAAGTCAAAGCTTCATATGAAGTAGGTCTCAGCATTCTTTAAGTTCAAGAATGTGTTTCCAAATGCTGATGGGATGTTTGAAGTAGGGTTGCCAACCCCCCCGGTTTGCCAGGGGTCTCCCGTTTGGGGGGGGGTCTACCCGCCGCCGGCCAGATGGCCAGCGGGGGAAACCTCGCCCCCAACACCCACAGCCACCCATCTCTCTCCCTTTAAGTGTGTGGAACCCGTGTTTCCTCCCAAGCTGGATCTCCGCAAGCTTGCAGGGAAATGCCAGCTTCGTGCTCTTAAAAGGGAAATGCGGCTTCTCTTAAAGGGGAAACGCCGGCTCCTGCATTTAAAAGGGAAACGCCAGCTCCTTTAAGTGCAGGAAACTGCCGTTTCTGGAGATCCGGTGCATGGGCAGATGGGGGGGGGGCGGCGGATGTTCCCAACATGACGTCATCACGTTGGGATGCCCCTCCAGGAAAAAAAGGAATGCCCCCAAAGTCCCCCGCGGGGGGTCGAAGATGGACTTGGCAACCCTAGTTTGAAGGAAATCAGAAGCCAGAGAGACCTGGGCCCCTTTACCTTTAACAGATTGCCATTCAGATTCCTGAAGAAACTTCTTCTCCTGGATTAAAACTGGAGGGGACCCCCCCATCCTTCCCCCCCCCTGGAAACTTTATTTTTACAATGTGCAGCAGCTTACCCTCAAAAAAGCCCACCCACTGGGTTTCTGCATGAGTCACTGCATGGGTCCTCCTGATTGGAAGGGGGCAAAACCAGAGCAGAGTGATACAGCAGTGCTATTGGTAGTAGACTTGCCAGCCCCCCCGGGGGGGCGGGGGGGCGGGGGAACCCCCACCCCAGAGGCCCGTTCCCCGGCGGCGGCGGATCGGGCCCCGGGGGGAACCCCACCCCGACGTGCACGTCACCCAGAAGTGTCACCCGGAAACCAGGCATGCTGGGGGCGGGCCCACGGTCATCCGAGGGAAAACTCTATGGTTTCCAGACGCCGGAAGGGAGTCCCCCACTCCGGAGGAATTTACACTTGGCAACCCTAATTGGCAGCCTCCTTAGAAAGTGGATAATTCTGTTGCCTCAGGTGAGATTACAACAGAGGCTGACTGGAAGAAGAGAAAGCTATAAACAGAAATCATACAGAGACACAGCAGGCACCCACTATTTACATTAAGGCATGGAGGACAGGTCCACTCACTATCATGGCTAAATGGAAGCTCCACATTCAGAGGAAAGGTACTTGAGGGCCTCAGCATGGCCTAGCAACTTGTAGGCAACTGTATGGTTTCTTGTGTTTGGATGCTTAACCATCAACAGCCATCTCTTCTTCGATTCTCATAACTTTCCAGGCAGCGACCTGTGTAGGATAGTTCCTGGCTAGCAAGAGTCAGGTACAGGGCCTGGCAGAGCTGTGAGTCTGGCTGGGTCCTTCTCCTTCCATCCCTCCTTTGTGGGGGTGAGGCCATTTTCCCCTCACAGATTGCAGCTCCACAGGTAGGATGGCTCGAGATACCTTGTACAGGAGTGTGTAGAATTGGACCCATTTGTCTAATTCACTTGAAACTTTGAGGGACTTTAGATTAGAGGGAGGTCTATGTTCTGTGCAAATAGGGTTGCCAAGTGGTTTTTGAGCCGCAGCGGAGGACTCCCAGCTGGTGGCTGGAGTGCACACACATGCGCAAAGTGCATGCCGGACGCACGTAACCCAGAAGTGACGTGACAACGCCGGGCACGCTGGGGGTGGGGCCACGACCATCCGAGGGAAAACCGTAGAGCTTTCCCTTGGATGACCGTGGCCCCGCCCCCAGCATGCCCGGCATGGTCGTGTCACTTCTGGGTGATGTGCACGTCGGGGTGGGATTCCCCCCGGGGTCTGATCCGCCGGCAGTGGGGAACGGGCCCCTATTGCAGGGGTTTCCCTGCCTCCTGGGGGGACTTGGCAAGCCT